ACTCTTACATCCCTGCTGCGCTGCAGATTTTCGATGCCAAATCAGTTACACAGCTTCTATATGGTGTGCCCATCTGGATGTCTGCATTACACAGTTCTGTGGAAAGAGTCCAATCCACATTTCTGTATAAAATCTTTGGTCTTCCCCACTGTGTGCCCTATGCTGCTCTATGCCTTGAAGGTGGCCAGCACAAGATCGAGACTCAGGCCTGGCTCAGATTCTTGAAATATTGGATTAAAATCTGTTTCTTTTCACCCAAGGACATCTTATTCCAAGCGCTCTTGGCAGATAGTCTGTTCCCAAAAGGCCTTGCCCTATTTCTTAAGAAAATCAAGACCCTGGGGCTGTCACCAGACTTACTGGGCTCAATACCCCCCTCCAGGGTGTTTCCAACAATCAAAAAAAGGGTTTTGGATATAGAGGGGCAATCTCTGCACAGCGCTGCCCAAAGAGTCTGCTCTCCACTCTACTTTCAGTTGCCCCTCAGCTATGGCTGTAGACCGAGCTATCTCTATCACTTAGAACAGCCACAAGAACGATGGTCATTTACCCTTGCCAGATGCAATATAGTACCTACGAGCATAGCGCAGGGCAGGTACAAGGGTTTACCAATAGAACTGAGACTCTGCCCGTGTGGCCAGGGAGTGGTTGAATCCCTGCAGCACATGCTATTTTATTGTACTTTGTACAAGGATATTCACCTGTCCCATCTGTGCGCTTTTCTCTCCTCCCATTCCGGATGGGATGATATGAGGAAAATGCAGCATCTTCTAAGTGGCAATATTAAGGAACTTACCCTGTCAACTGCCAGATACGTATATGCCATCATGCAGAGACGTCGTAGCACGGTCTCGCAGAATGAAGAGCCCTAAATATGCTCTTGGCTGGCCCTTCCTACCCGTTACCCAGTGAACATTTTAGTTGTATGTTATTGTATTTGTCTGTTTTACTGTACTCAGTATGCCAATAAAGGTTTCTGACTGACTGACTGACTGACTGACTGGCATACATTTTTTATCAATTTCCTCTCCACTCTTTAAAAGAGGGATGGGGAACATATGGCCCCTATGTGTTCCTTGTTCAAACAAGTCAACGGTTTAAAAAAGACATTCTCAGGGTATAGCATTTTAAAAATAAACACTGATTTATTTCTCTCAATGATTTAGTTGAACACATGCAACCACTAATTTTAGGAAGCTCCCATTTTCAGAAATGTTGCTCAACTTTTAATACATAATACCTTCGAGAAAACATGAAGACTAGAAAATGAATAAATCAATCACAATATAAGTGTTTTGACTATAATATGAATATTTAGTCATGTCCAGCACAAAATGCTAACACCCAATACTTATTTTTTTAAAAATTCTGGTTAAAAGTATCTCTTACCTTGGTGGAACCGGCAAAACTGGACAAAGTTCAGGAGCTCTGGAACTAGGTATACAATCGCTGGCATTAGAACTGTAAACACAGAGGCAAGAACCTAGAAAAAACAAAACCCATGAAACAAACACTAGAATGCTAGTTAATTTTATTTTAAAATTAATTTTATTTATTAATAATTGTAGTCATTTATTGAGGAAATATAGTATACATCTCCTGAGACAACACTGCCTAAAATGAAAACAAAGATCAAATTTATAGAGAAGTTAAAATATTAGTAAAGCTATCTGAAGAAAACAAAGAGCAGAATAAAATCAACAACAATAACAGCTACAAAGGCAAACAGTCATGCTATTAAATGTTTGCCCAAATAAAAAGATCTATAAAGGCCAGTTTTAAAAGCCAGTGTAAAAAACCTATGGTCAGCATCCCAACTCTGAGACTACCATGGTCTGGGCCCACCCACAAGAAAGCACTTTACACAGGGACCAGTAACCTGACACTTTCATCTTCTATCAGATATCTAAACCACTGGTTCTTAACCTTGGGTTACTCAGGAGTTTTGGACTGCAAGTCCCAGAAGCCTTCACCACCAGCTGTGCTGACTGGGGCTTCTGGGAGTTGCAGTTCAAAGGCATCCGAGTAACAAAAGTTAAGAACCACTGGTTTATCCTACACAAAAGTTGCCATTTCTGGGCCATTGTGATTATTAAAAACTGGGAAGTATAGACAGGAGATGATCCCTTCCTGCACCAGACTGCAAAGACTTAGGAAAAAAATCCCTTGAACATATACAAACAGCAATATGTAACAAGTCTTTTATCTTAAGCAAGCATGCAATAATGTATAGGACAATTTCCATATAGCTTTTACAGCTTCTGATAACCACTGAGTATATCCTGTATCTTATTGTGGACATTGGTCATTTATACATTGGTTAGCATCTGCTGACACTGCAAGAGATGTTTATGTGTATCTCCCTTGAATTTTGCCTGGAAATAAACTGTTAACAAGTCGAACTCCCACGGAATTGATATTCTATACTTCTTGTGATTATGTCCAGAAAACAACCTAGTGGATGTACACCAGACTATGTCAAGTTGTAGTTTTGTAAGTGATTGCAGGCAGATATTACAGGTGTATCTCCCTTGAATTTTGCCTGGAAATAAACTGTTAACAAGTCGAACTCCCACGGAACTGATATTCTATACTTCTTGTGATTATCTCCAGAAATCAACCTAGTGGATGTACACCAGACTACAGTGGGGTCTTGACTTAAGAACGGCTTGAGTTAAGAACATTTTGACTTAAGAACCGCTCTCGTACGAAAATATTGACTTGACTTACATACTTAGATTTGAGTTAAGAACTGAAAAAAAACCACGCAGGAGGCAGGGAAAGTGCAAAATGTGAACTTTCAGTTAACTGCTGGCCAGTGAAAAGGGTGCCTGTCTGCTTCCTCACTCCTCCCAGCATTTAGAGAGTGGATTGGGAGACAGTCTTTAGACTGCCTGGTACTTGTACTGCCTGGACCGCATTTTCCTTGCCTTCCCTGAACCTTTCTTGACCTAAGAAAAAAAGAAACAAAATATCCCCCTCTAGTGGTCGAAGGCGGAATAGTAGCTTCCCATTAGTTTCTATGGACGGAAAAGAGCAGATACGGATCAAATGGTTCTCAATGCATTCCTATGGGAAATGCAGATTTGACCTGAGAACTTTTTGACTTGAGAACCGCCTTCCAATACGAATTAAGTTCTCAAGTCAAGACCCCACTGTATGTCAAGTTGTAGATTTGTAAGTGATTGCAAGCAGAGATTACAGAAATCACATCAAAATAATAATAATAATAGGTTCTGCACCATTTCAGCACAAAGCTACTTTTGCTAAACATTACTTTGAAATATTCTAAAAATTAACAGAACTTTTAAAATCTCACCTTCTTATTATTTCAAATATATATCTATAAAATAGGAATTTAGGTTTCATTCCTCATATTTTGCTAAAATACAATTCAGGTATTTCTAATTTCTGGTATTCCAATTTTACTTAAGACATATCTAATCAGCTATATATGACACTGCTTGCAGGAATCAGGCAACCTTTCCCTCACTGACCAGCTGCCTGAGTGAGATTTTTAAATGGACTGTTGTGCCTTACTGCTTTGAATGTGTCTCTGGTATTGTTTTTGTTTACCATTTCTCAGAGTGATCTTTGTTTGATACTTTTTAGTATTTGTATAATTACTGTTTTTTGTTTTAAATATTGTTTTTTAATTATGTAAACTGCCTTGAGTCCTTTTTAAGGAGAAAGGCTGAGTAAAATATTTTAAATAAAGAAATAATAAATAAGTTTCCACGTAATGACAGTATTTAAAATACTAATGCCTGTTTCCCTACATTTCCCACCGACAGCTTTAAGATCTGTTCTAAAATGCTTTGAAAAATCATATTGTCGGCAATAATACAGGGTAAATCTTCTTCAGACTTAAATATCTCTTTAAGTACCAGCAGACACTAACAGACACATAAATGACAGGCATCCACATTCCACAGTAAGGTACATGTACTGTATACGGTATACTCGGCAGTCAGAAGCTGTTAAAAAAGGAAATTGCCTTATACATTATTGCATGCCTGCTTAAGATAAAATACTTGCTATACAGCAGTATATTGCTGTTTGTATATAACACTTGTACATGGAATGTGAAGCCAGAAAGGACTCTTGGGATACTCCTAAGAGCAATTAAGATAGATAGATAGATAGATAGATAGATAGATAGATAGATAGATAGATAGATAGATAGATAGATAGATAGATAGATAGATAGATAGATAGATAGAAGAGAGAGAGAGAGATATTAGTAGCTGGCGTTTAAAATGGTATGATAATATTATTTTTGAGGAACTGAGTATAAATGGAAACTGGAGACAAGGACAGGGTTCTTAATTCCTTACAGGAAATTTAGAAGCTAAAGAACTTGTATTCTTTTGAAAGTTTCTTTAGTCCCTCTGCTGGCAGAAATATTACATTACTACAAAACAAACTAGGAGAACTCTGGGATGCATTTCCATCAGAACCAGATTGCCAGCTCCTTAAAGTCAGGCCATAGTTTTGTTATTTACTTTCTACTTATTCAACACAGACTTTTTCCTTAGTTTGTTTGCTTATCAGATTTAATTTTTAATATATTATGCTTGTTATTCTGTATTTGTTTTAGTAATTTTTTAGCATTTATTTTTAGCATCCCTAGGAGGGTTCCCCCCCCCAAAGGCAGTATTTATGTCTATAAACAAATGTAGTCATATAGTTCTTAAAGTAGATAAAAGGCATGCCATGTAAATTATTTATAAAGTAAAAAGTTTTTACTACAATGGCAGCAGCATACCATTATTGTTACCACTTTTGTTATTGTTACCATTATTGTTATTATCTTATTTGTTATGTTATTATTCAACTGTAATCAGGTTCTCCTAAAGCCGGCGGCGGTCCCTTTGTTTGGGCGGGAATAAGAGACGAAGGCGTTTTAAAAACTTGAACAGAGTCCTTTTTATTTTCTGAAACTGCAATGTCAACTAATTCAAACGGATCTAACATGCTCAACTCCGGCAAAATCGTATAACTACGGACCTTCACATTTGGCGTAAATATGTCGCTCCATACATCGCGGCCTGACCAAAGAGCTCCTGAGCTGTCATCGCCCGCAAGGGCGTGCTCCGCACTGCGCAGACCGTGCCACGGCTGCGGTGTCTCGCCCAGTCCCCTTTGCATGGTGGTTGGTTGAAACAGGAACTGGGGTGAATCACCTTCCCCCCCACACTGGTTGTGGGGGTAGATCACTACTGTCCATTCCAGTGGTTCAATCTTCACGTTGCCCGGCTTAGCTGTAAGAGGGTCTGGGAGCAAACCTCCGCCTGTCTTCATGTTTGGAAACTCTTTCAGCAGTTTCCTAACCTCCTTTGTCTCCTCCCCACCTCCTTCCTGTACAGCTTTATCTTTCGTGTCTCTCTTGTTCTTGTCCATTACAACTCTAAAGTTTCGTGCCTCTTCCCCTTCTTTTATAACCTCCTCCCACACAATCAAATCTACCTCCTCCCCTTTATCATCCGCTAAACACACCTCCAACGTTTTCCTCTCCCTCATCCTTCTCTATTTCTACTAAGACCCCTTCCACACATCCTGGGTTCTCCTCAGTAGTATGCCTCGTTAAGGACGGCACACTAATGACTCCTCCTTCACATCAACATTATACAACAAAAGACTACAGAGACTGTGTGGTATTGCAAGTAGAGTGGTGCCTTGGCTTACAACCATAATCCATTCCAGAAGATGGATGTAATTCGAAATGGTTGTACAGTGGTGCCCTGCAAGACGATGTTAATTTCATTCCATTGTAATCGCTGTCTTGTGAAAACATTGTCTTGCCAAAAGCGCTTCCCCACTGGAATGCATTGAAATCCGTTTAATGCATTCCAATGGGGAAAAATCATCGTCGTTCTGCGAAAATCGCCCATAGGGAAGTCATTTTGCGAAGCGCCAATCAGCTGTTAAAATCACTGTCTTGCGAAGCATCGGTCCCGAAAACACCCGTTTTGCGAAGCACCAATCAGCTTAGAATCGTTGTCTTGCAAAAAACGGTCTGCAAAGCACAGACCCAAACATCATCCAGCGAAAATCGTCATAGGAAACACTGTTTTGCAGATTTATCGTTTTGCGAGGTCATCGTCTAGCAGGGTACCGCTGTAAGTTGAAGCACCTTTTCCCATAGGAATGCATTGAAATGCAATTAATCTGTTCCGGCCAAAGAAAAAAATCACACAAAAAAATCCCTGCAAGACTCATTGAATCCGCAATTAATCCCTTCCGGCCAAAGGGGGGAAGCAATCAAGCGTGCAAGACCCATTGGAAATGCAAACGGAGCAGATCGGAAATGCACAGAGAACAAAGGAGGCAGGTCAGAAATGCAAAGAAAACAAAGGAAAAAACAAGGGAAGCATGCAGGACCCATCGGGAATGGGGGGGAACCAAAACAAATGAACAAATCACCACATCTAGACAATATAAATTCAGGAAGTCTTACGCAACTCACACGAAATCGCAAAAGTAAATTCTGCAACATATCTAAACATTCAGCACTATCAATTGTCTTATCATAGCGATTTTACTGCATGAAATATTGGAAAGTGGTTTATCATTTCCCCTTTCCTGCACAATATTAACAATAATTAGCTTCAGTATCCTTGTCATTGTCTGTGAAGGATCCAGTGCCACCTTCCATTAATGGTGTTGCCCAGTGGGTCAGCATAGGTAATGGAAGGTACTCTCATCACCATCCATTCTCTTCTGCTGATGCAGCTGTTACTCCTGAAGAGGGTGGATGCATCTGAGGCATTTAGTGTCTCAGCTGTAAACATCTTGCCCTGGGTGACCCTGCCAAGAGTGCAGGTTTGTAATGCAATTTGGCCTTCTGATAGCATTGCTCTCTGTTTCTTTGATACACTCAAACCTTCGCATCCAAGAAGGGGACTACAAGGTTACCATTTGCTTATTAAAACTCTTGTAAAACATTTGCTTGAAGACAGTAGTTGAATCTTGGTCTGGTGTCTCAGTTTTGACTATTCCATCTTGGGTGACTCTCCCAGGAGTCCAGACTCATAATGTAGTCTGGCCACCTGATGGCATTACACTCAGATAGTGTTGGAAGATGAGATCCCCCAGGTTAGAAGACTCTCAGTGAGCTACTGGAGAAGAGGAACGTAGTGCTGCTATTGACAAAGCACCTAGATTAAAGCTGGGAGGACATCTGGTGGCCACTGTTCACTGAGGCTAAAAGAAAATCCAGTGCTGCAGAACACATGCAATTGGAGCACAGAATGTGAGAAGTAAGAATTAAGTGAACTCAAAACTATAAAATATTAAATGGAACATTGCAGTACCTAATGGGAGCAGACAAAAGCAGACAGGAATAGGGCATATTCAGTCAGATAAGTACAAAATATTTTACTTTGGCAATGAAAATCAAAAGAAACTGTGTGCTATAATACTGAGACAAAATATAACACAAGCAGTAATAAGATATACAGTGGTGCCTCACTAGATGATTGCCTCGTGGGATGAAAAACCTGCAAGATGATTGGTTTTTGCGATCATTATGGTGCCTCACAGGACTTTTTTTGAGACCGATGCTTCGCAAGACATTTTTTTTTGAGACAGATACTTCGCAAGACTTTTTTTTTTTTTTAGACCGATTCATAGGGAACCTCGCAAGACAATTTTTTCACAAGACGACGATTTTCGCGGAACAAATTAAAATCTTCTTGCGAGGCACCACTGTAATAGAAAATCTGACTAAATAACATCAGATTGCCTGCAAAAATTATCAATGCAACTATCATGCAGTAATGATCATGAATTAATAGTATCAAAATTAGAATAAAACCAAAGAATACTAAAAGAAGCATAATGCAAAACCATAATTTAAACATTTCTCTTGAATTTACAAACCGTACATTACAGTGGTGCCTCGCAAGACAAATGCCTCACAGGAAAAAAAAACCTCGCAAGACAAATGGTTTTGGCAATGGGGGTGATGACTCATAAGACAAATGTTCCTATGGCCGTGCTTCGCAAGATGTATGTTTT